CCAGCCAGCCATGGCTGGCTGGAGAATCCTGGGAGTTGAAGTCCACACGTCTTCGAGTTGCCAAGGTTGAGAAACACTGTACTAGATCCTTAATACATTTTCAGAGAGCCATAAAAACAGATCTTTAGGAAGGAATTGGGGGGATGAGTAACATCATGTTGTTCCCCCACCCTAAATGATGAAGCATTGAATTGAATGCTTATAACTCTATTATTTGTGTTTTTTTTTCATGTTGATACTGTAAACCACTTGGTCTCCAGAAATGGAGTGGTAGGTAAGTTGAATGAACGAAAAAAAATGAATGAATAAATAAATAAATAAATAAATAAATAACTTTGCCTCTGCCTCAGCATGTCCCACAGAAGTTGCAGATTTCAGAGCAAAGTTTTATTTTCTTTTACACAGCTTAGGGAAAACGTCCCACCGCTGGGTTTTACCTTCAAATGCCTCCATTAGCCAGCATTCAGCTATTTTTACCGAACACCTTCTGGCATGTTTATTTTCTCAGAATCCAGTAAAAGGAAAAATGTCTGAAACATGTTTATTATTTAAAATATGTGCCCCTTTATCCTTTTTGGGAACATAGGGTAGCGCACGACCAACTTCATCACGTACAAATACAACAGCAAAGAGCACCATACAAATGTATTTTTAAAAAAAAACAAGGGACAAGTTAAACTGCCTTGGTGACTAAAACTACTTTTGCTGCGTGTCAGAAAGATTGCAGTGTGGTCACCAAAATTGTTCTAAGGAACAGAAGCGAGATGGGCTTGAAAGTAATGAAAAATTATGGATGGGATAGGAAGAAAAATGTAGTTCTAGATGAATTATGTCAAGTCTCTGTTGTCAATGGATGTGTATAGCTGTGTGTACGTACACATATGCACGTGTTTGTGTGCACTGTCTTTCCCCAACTGAAATGTCAATTTTTCTAAAAATGTGTTGTGAATGCTTTTCAGCGTTTTAAAACAGATTTCCAATGAAGGACAATTTGACAGAGATAATCCATTCTCTTCCACATTCTTCTAAGAATATATACTGTATCGAGGAATGTGTGCATCACACACACACACACATATATGTTCCTAGAAGACCTACCATCTGCAGTGCCTCAATTCTTCTCTTTATGGATTCATATTACTTTAAGGGAAAAAAACCTGATCACTCTGTAAATTTCCATAGCACTTTTTCTCAAAAACCTTCCTCCTTCAGTCTTCGCTTCCCTGAAGCTGAGAATATTCCGCTGAGAATATCACAGTGGTGTGGAGAAAATAAATAGTGACACGATGTTCCTCTTTTGGGTTGTCCTAACTGGAATCCAAGATAATAAAAGGGTCTGCCCATATTCTTTGTATGTACTGACAGTATGGAGTCCACTATCCAAAATTGTTAATTATCCTCACATGAATGACATTTCGCAGAGATGTGGACAAATGTATGAACAACGAGACAGTGCAAATTAATCGTACGTGTCAATAGCAATAGGCAATAAAAATTATCACCAGTAAGAGAGATAACCAGTTGCTGGGGGAATTTGAGTAAAAGGCGTGATTCTTCCCATAATTGCATGCTTCTTCCTAATTTTTGCCTGAGAATCGAAATTTGATTTGAACCCAAATTCTAAGCATTTATATGGGTTTCCCCCAAGTAAGTTCATTGATGAGCAATTTTCCTTCCTGGCAATGTTTATTGACACTTGCCTGTCATTTATAATATCTCTCCCTTGTGTGCGTTTTTTTGATGTCTAGTCAAGTTTTTCTTATGACTGAAACTTTTTCCACATTCTAAGCAGGTGTATTTTTCCCCTGTGTGAATGCTCTGATGTTGAAAAAGGTTTGTTCGCTGGCTGAAACTCTTTCCGCACTCCAAGCATTTATATGGTTTTTCTCCGGTGTGAATTCTTTGATGTTTGGTGAGGTCTATTTTCTGACTGAAACATTTCCCACATTCTGAGCACGTATACGGTTTCTCCCCTGTGTGAATTCGGTGGTGCCTAGAGAGGTTTTTCTTATGATTGAAGCTCTTGCCACATTCCAAGCATTTATATGGTTTCTCCCCTGTGTGAATTCTTTCGTGAGAATTGAGGATGATTTTGTGACCAAAGCTCTTTCCGCAGACCAAGCACGTACACTCTTTCCCACCTGCATGAATGAGCTGGTGATTTCGGAGCCCTGTGCTCCGACTAAACGTCTTTCCACACTGCAAACACTTGTGCAGTTTCGGCTTTTTGAACATGCGTTGATGAGGAGTGAGATACATATTTGGACTGTCACATTCCAAATAGGGGAACACTTTTTCTTCTGAATGAATCCTATAGTGCTTCATGAGTAGGATCTTCTGGGTGAAGCTCTTTCCGCATTCTAAGCATTTATATGGCTTCCCCTCAGTGTGGGTTCTTTCATGATAAGTCAGAGCAGTCCGGTAACTGAAGCTCTTCCCGCACACCAAACACACGTATGGTTTCTCCCCTGTGTGAATTCTTTGGTGAGTCGTGAGATTGGTCTTCTGACCAAAAGTCTTTCCGCATTCCGAGCATTTATAAGGTTTCTCGCCCGTGTGGGTTCTTTGATGTTTAGTCAGACCCGTATTCTGGCTAAAACTCTTCCCACACTCCCGACATTGATATGGTTTTTCTCCCGTGTGAATTCTTTGATGAGAAATGAGATTTATCTTGTGACTAAAAGTTTTCCCACATTCCATGCACTGATATGGTTTCTCCCCGGTGTGAATCCTCTGATGGGATGTGAGATTTATCTTCTTCCCAAAGCTCTTTCCACACTCTAAGCATTTATACGGTTTTTCGCCTGTGTGAATTCTTTTATGTTTAGTGAGGCTTGAACTCTGACTGAAGCTCTTTCCACACTCGACGCATTTATATGGTTTTTCCCCTGTATGAATGCGTTTATGTTTAATGAGGCTTGAACTCTGACTGAAGGTTTTTTCGCACTCCAAGCATTTATATGGTTTTTCTCCTGTGTGAATCCTTTGATGAGAGGTAAGATTTATCTTATAACCAAAACTCTTTCCGCACTCGAAGCACATATATGGCTTTATCCCCGTCGGGTGTTCTTTCATTTTACATCTGTCGTGTCCTGGAACAAAGAGAAGAAATTTAGACATTTATTGGACAATCTATTGAGAAAAGATTTAGAAATTTACTGAGCCATTTTAATTACACGTGGCTTTATGTAGGGCTATCAATGGCTTTTGGCCTGGAAACTTCTACTGACCCAGGATGAGACAGCTGGCAGCTGAGTAGACCCATGAGATACACACACATTACCCAGATGTTGGAGCCCCAGGATGACCTGTTTATTAGCTTGGAAGTCACTTTTAATGTTGATTGGTTGATCTTTGTTAGGGAAATTTGTCCAGGCTGATTAATAGCTTTTTTTTAAATGACAGTTTCTTTCTTCTAAATGGAATAAAAGCAAGCCTCTTTTCCTGATCTGCAGGGAAGTGAATTAGGTGTGTGTGTGTGTGTGTGTGTGTGGGGACACACGTGTGCACACATCTTGAAGTCAAGTCTTGTCTCCTGGTGATTATGTGGAACATAATCCCTCCCAGTTCTGTTAGCAACATCTTCAGAAGTGGTTTGCCCTGGCCTTCTCCTCCTTCCTAGGGCTGAGCGAGAGGGACTGGCCCAAGGTCACCCAGCTGGCTTTGTCCCTAAAGCAGGATAAGAACTCACAGGCTCTCAGCTTCTAGCCCAATGCCTTTAAGCACTACACCAAATTCACTCTTGTGAGAGATGTTGTAAAGATAATACCAAAGCAGTTACATTTCATGGCACTGTCTAGCATTTTCTCCGATGCACAACAGTAGATTCTGTTGGCGTGTTTAAGGTATGCTGCACAGGTGCTGGCGAAACGTTAGGAAACAAAACTTCAAGACCACGGCCACACAACCCGGAAGACCCACACCAGCCATCCTGTAACTGTTTTTCCAAAGATCATAACCAACCTTTGGAAGTGACGCATCTCTGGAATCTCTCACCAAAGGAAACTGGTGTGAATCCTGAGGTTGACTTTCTGTTACAGCTGACCCCGCAGCATTGAAACCTCCCACCTCAAGATGACGGGAAATTGTGCTATCCGTTTTCAGCAACCGTGGCCAGAGAGCATTCTGTGGTTTGCAGAAAGGAGTCTTGAGGACTTCATGTGGTGCCAAGGCTGCAGATCGACCAGCCCAATGTAGATTGTGAAAGAAATCCCACACTCTTATCCTACTGGCACCCACGTCCCCTACCCTAGCCAAAGCTACAAATACCACAGTCCCTTAAATATCCCCCAACACTAGGTGGGAGTTAGGACCCAGAAGCATCCTTTGTTCATTTCTGGCCCCTCTAATCAAGGAAGAGCTGAGAAGGAAAAGGAAGATCACAAAGTGGGAACGTATCCAACTCGCTACAACGGTCAGCTAGAGACCATCTCTGATATCCAAACCTGTCGGTGTAGAACTGTGATGGAATGGAATTATGAAGGCCAGGCTCAAGGAGAAAAACATTTTCTTACATCTCCTGAGGAGCGTGGGAGATACAAGAGGATGAGACTGGCACTTCCCTGAGGAATTCACAGTGTTGTGGCTGACATTACTTGGGAGCTCCGGGTTTTGGCTGTGTGGTGTTCCTTGATCAGGGTTAAATTATAAAAAAAAGAATAGAATAATTTTAATTACTTTTTTGGTGTCGTTGGGGGG